CACCCCTAGACTCACAGGCCTGACCTGAATGGTCCAGATCAATGTTTTATTGGGGCAAATCTGAATGGTCCTCCTGTGATCGGTCACCTGTCTCTGCTTTGTACCCATGGTTAGGACTTTCTGGGTGAGGAACATTCAGGAAAGACTCCCAAGAGGAGGCCAGAGATGGCGCAGCATGCCGCACGAAGGACACTTCCACGGGGCTGAGGTGGCGGGGGCGGGAAACGGAGCCCCGGCCCTTAACCCTCACCACAGTGGGGAGTGAGCCCCCCGCTCCCGAGAGCCGGCCCCAGGACATCGAAGCCGTGCTCAGGCTGCAGACACTGACTCGGTTTCCCCGCAGGAGCCTCGCCAGTCCCAACTTATGGCTGTTCCTTTTAAGCATGGCTGGTGTCTGTGTTTGCAAGTTATAAATGTTGGTTTGCCCACAAGCTGAAGGCACCCATTCATACTTGATGTCCGTACGAGTCTAGTAACATGATGACCCTGACAGTTGGGGCTCACACAGGGGAAGACGCCACCGCCAAAGCCATGGCCATTTGGGGGGCCGAGGGGGAAGGCTCAGCAGCTGCATGGAGGTGGCTCCTGGTACCTGAGAATCAGGTGTTGCATGGGTGTGTCTGATGTCCCCAGTGGCTCTCAGTACCAGATAGAAACCCGGGGCTGTTCTGTCTGTGGTGGGCATGCTGTCCCAGAGGCCTCCCCTCCCCTGAGAGGCCTGGGTGCCAACCTGGCCTTGCTCAGAGCGCCACGCCAACCCCCAGCTCCTCTGTCGGCCTGTTGCCTTTCCTTTGTGCTACCCCCACTTCCTGCTCACCTCCCCCAACCCCAGGTGAGAATGGTCCCAGTTGTCATCGTGGGAAGTTTATCTTTCTTAAGTGACATCTCACAATGACACTCCTGGCACTGGTGGGTCTGGCCCCTCCTCTCCAGGCCTGAAGTGGCAGCCAAGCGTCCTGACTCCTCAGGGGCACAAGGCTGTCTGCTGGGCTCTCTGCTCCGAGGTATTGACCGCTGTCTCTTTAGACTCTGAGTGCAACCAGAGGTGGGCTCAGTTACCAGGGCCACTCCAGGCCACTCCAGAGCGAAACCCTCTAGGTGACATTTCTCAGCTTCGCTCTTCCGCGGGCGGCTCTGCCCGCTCAGGGCTCTCGGTGCTGTGACGACCAAACTAATTACCTCCCGAACAATGCAGAGGACCTTTCCACCGGAAGGGCCATTGCCCTCTGCTAAACCCAGGTGAGCCTCGAGAGAGATAATGGCAGGAAGGCTGAGTCCGCTGGGCCTGGAGAAAACGGAACAAGCATTGATTTTCTCATGTCCCCGTCTGGGAGCTAATAGCTTCTGGTGACTCAAGAGCCTGGTGATTCAAGGGATGAGGAAGTTGTATGTTTAGTCGCTTGGAGTTGTCTCCTGGCCCACCAGTGACCCGCAGCTCCTGCCAGATAATGAGTTTTCGTTTGATCGGCCTGGCCTCGTTATTTCACGCCTTCCTGTGCTGCTCGGGACAGGAGCTGCCCCCAGGAGCGATCCCCATCGGCCTTTCAGGTCCAGCTCCCTAGTCTGGGTGAACCTGTCACCCCTCCTGCCTTGTTCATCTCCCCAGTGTGCACTCCCAGCTTTTGCTGGGTGTCCCAGAGCCCTTGGTGTGGGAAGATGGGTGTCTTGGTCACCCTCCCCGGGTCATGGCCTGGGTGATGGCCTCAGGGTTCCATCCACGGTTTGGGAGTTTGGTGCTTCCCAGGGGGCGGGTGCTGGGTCTTGCTGATGGGAGTGGGCTGTGTCCTGGCCACTGTTTCTGTTCCTCGGCTGCAGGGTTTTGGAATGAGTAAGCGCACGTCAGCGGTGGAATGTCTGCTGACCCACCTGGAGATAGGGCCCCACAGCCCCTTTGTTAAAAGCACAAACTAAGAAAATAATTAGTAAAGATCTATGCACCCCTCGTTCACTGCAGCGTTATTTAGAATAGGCAAGATATGGAAGCAACCCAGGTGCCCAGCAGTGGATGAGTGAATAAAGAAGAGGTGATACATATATACAATGGGAAATGACTCGGCTGAAAAAAAAGAAGAATGAAATCTTGCAATTTATGACAACACGGACGGACGTAGAGGGCATTATGCTGAGTGAAAAAAGTTGTACAGAAAGCGTTGGCCAGCGTGGTTCAGTTGGTTAGGCATCGTCCGGTGCACAGAAAGGTCGCGGGTTCAGTTCCCAGTCAGGGCACATGCCTGGGTTTCGGGCTTGATCCCCAGTAGGGGGTGTGCGGGAGGCAGCTGATACCATGTCATTTCTCACATTGATGTTTCTCTCTCTTCCTCTCCCTTCCTCTCTCTCTGAAAATCAGTAAAAATATTTTTTTTAAAGTAAGTCGTACTGACACCTTGTCTATGTGCTCAATGTCTAGAGTAGCAGCCCACACACCAAGGAATCTCAGCTTCAATTCCTGGTCAAGGGATGCAGGTTTGATCCCTGGCCCTGCTCAGGGAATGTGAAGGGGGCAATCAGTCCATGTATCTCTCTCTCATGTAGCTATTTCTCTCTCTCTCTCTCTCTCTCTCTCTCCATATCTCCCCATCTCTCCCACCTTTCCACTCTCAAAAAGCAATGGAAAAAAATAGCCTTGGGTGAGGATTAACAAAACAATAATAATAAGTCATACAGAGAAAGACAAATACCTCATGATTTCACTTACATGTGGAATCTATAAAAAGAAAACAATGAACAACATAAAACAGAAACAAACTCATACAGAGAACAAAGAGATGGTTGCCAGCGGGGAGGGGAGTGAGGGGCTGAGCAGAAAAGGGGGAGAGTAAGAGGTACAACTCTCAGCTATAACATAAGTCTCGGGGTGTCATGTACAGGACAGGGAGCAGAGCCTGCAAACCACGTACGCTGACATGTGTGCGAGCCCCGTTGTGGGGATGGCTTTGTCAGGTGTATTCATGGAAAATCGCTCTGCTGTACACAGGGAACTAATACAATGTGGCATGTAAACTACAATAGTAACAGCCTCCACACCACGCACGAAGACAGATGTGTTAGCCCCGTTGTGGAAAATCATGGAAAATGATTTTCATGGAAAATCACTCTGCTGTCCACAGGGAACTAATACAATGTGGCATGTAAACTACAATTAAAAATAAATGTGTAATAGATAAATGGTGGGTCTTCGATGGCCTGGTGGCATCAGGATCACCAGGAGCGGCCGGGACTGGGCCCAGCATGGGGACTGGGCAAGCTCACGTGGAGAGTGGACGGAGACACGGCTCAGCAGGAGCCTCAGGTGTGCTCCGGGGTGCGCCCCCTCCCGGAGCCCTGCCTCTAAGTACGATGCACACAGATGCCCACTGAACCAGACCCGCTTGCTGCTCATTTCAGGGTCCCGGTGCCAGCGAGCCCACGGAGGCGGACGTGCCCCTCGTTCACTGCAGTGTTATTTAGAATAGGCAAGATATGGAAGCAACCCAGGTGCGCAGCAATGGATGAGTGAATAAAGAACAGGTGATACATATATACAATGGGAAATGACTCAGCTGAAAAAAAAAGAATGAAATTTTGCAATTTATGACAACACGGACGGACGTAGAGGGTATTATGCTGAGTGAAATAAGTTGTACAGAAAGTGTTGGCCAGCGTGGTTCAGTTGGTTAGGCATCGTCCGGTGCACAGAAAGGTCGCGGGTTCAGTTCCCAGTCAGGGCACATGCCTGGGTTTCCGGCTTGATCCCCAGTAGGGGGTGTGCGGGAGGCAGCTGATACCATGTCATTTCTCACATTGACGTTTCTCTCTCTTCCTCTCCCTTCCTCTCTCTCTGAAAATCAGTAAAAATATTTTTTTTTAAATAAGTCGTACTGACACCTGGTCTATGTGCTCAATGTCTAGAGTGGCAGCCCACACACCAAGGAGTCTCAGCTTCAATTCCTGGTCAAGGGATGCAGGTTTGATCCCTGGCCCTGCTCAGGGAATGTGAAGGGGGCAATCAGTCCATGTATCTCTCTCTCATGTAGCTATTTCTCTTTCTCCCTCTCTCTCTCTCTCTCTCTCTCTCCATCTCTCCCACCTTTCCACTCTCTCAAAAAGCAATGGAAAAAAATAGCCTTGGGTGAGGATTAACAAAACAATAATAATAAGTCATACAGAGAAAGACAAATACCTCATGATTTCACTTACATGTGGAATCTATAAAAAGAAAACAATGAACAACATAAAACAGAAACAAACTCATACAGAGAACAAAGAGATGGTTGCCAGCGGGGAGGGGAGTGAGGGGCTGAGCAGAAAAGGGGGAGAGTAAGAGGTACAACTCTCAGCTATAACATAAGTCTCGGGGTGTCATGTACAGGACAGGGAGCAGAGCCAGTAACAGCCTCCACACCACGCACGAAGACAGATGTGTTAGCCCCGTTGTGGAAAATCATGGAAAATGATTTTCATGGAAAATCACTCTGCTGTCCACAGGGAACTAATACAATGTGGCATGTAAACTACAATTAAAAATAAATGTGTAATAGATAAATGGTGGGTCTTCGATGGCCTGGTGGCATCAGGATCACCAGGAGCGGCCGGGACTGGGCCCAGCATGGGACTTGGGCAAGCTCACGTGGAGAGTGGACGGAGACACGGCTCAGCGGGAGCCTCAGGTGTGCTCGGGGGTGCAACCCCTCCCGGAGCCCTGCCTCTAAGTACGATGCACACAGATGCCCACTGAACCAGACCCGCTTGCTGCTCATTTCAGGGTCCCGGTGCCAGCGAGCCCACGGAGGCGGACGTGGAGGAGGAGACCCTGAAGAGAAAGCTGGAGGAGCTGACCAGCAATGTCAGTGACCAGGGGGCCTCGTCCGAGGAGGAGGGCAAGGACAAAGGGGCGGAGCTGGACAGGAGCACTTCCTTGGAGGACCTCCCCCGGATGACCCCAGAGGTAAGGCCACCCCCCTCAGTCTCCACAGGACACGGGCAGAGGTAGGGCCAGGGGTCAACAGTCTGTAGCCAACCCAGCAGCCCAGCCCAGGGCAGACAGCTGACCCCTGGAGGTCAGTGAGGGGGCCCGACAAGGGCCGCAGAGTGCCCAGCCCCTGGCTGGCCGTCTGCCCGCCCAGCTCCAGGAGTGAAGAGAAAAGAGGATGGTAGGATGAGGTCCTTGTTGGTGAAGCCTGCAGTCTCTCCTGTCCTAGGTGTGCACGTCTGCAGGCCAAACACACAGATGGGAAAAGAGCTCCCCCGGCCCTCAGGGCCCCGTGCAGACCGCCAGGACCCCGGACGAGGCGCTGTCGCAGCTGGAGGACAAGGTGGCCGTGACAGCCTCTGAGGTTCAGCAGACGGAGAGCGAGGTAGCCCACAGGCTCGGGAGCAGATGGCTCCCCTAGACAGACAGCGGTGGGGCCCTGATGGTGTGACAGCAGGGGAGGGGCTCCCCAACGGCTCACACAGAAGAGCCCCTTCAGCTTCAGAGCAGGAGCTTGGGGGTCCCTGTGGGAATCTCCCCCCCCCCCCCGCCTCACCCCTGTCCCTTCCCCTTTGCTGTAGAGAGGGGCAGGCGAGGTTTGTAGCCACTGGAGGAAGATGCGGGCACTCCCCCTGCCCCACCCCATGGAGGGGCTTCTCTAGAAGCAGTTAAGATTTTAGGACAGCCCAGGGCTCAGGACCACATTCTGGCCCGAGGAGCGTGGGCCCAGAGCTTCGGTGTAAGGGCGGAGGTGTCGGTGGTGACAAAGGTCAGAGGACAGAGCAGGCCTCCCAGGGACAGTCACAGTGACTGGGCCCTGTTCAGCCCTCCCCCCAGGGACCCACAGAGAAGAGAGGGCCTGTCCCTCAGACTCTGCTCCCAACTGGGGGTGACCCAGCCCCTACCCGACATCCATGGCACCTGCATGGAATGGGACCCCAGAAAGTACATCTGGGTGGGAAACACAGTAAAATCTTAAGGAGAAAACAGTAAAATTGGTGAATGAGGGCAGCTGCTCTTCCAGGACTGTGACCGGAGGTGGGACTCCTGAGTGACCTCTCTCTGTTTTCACTGATCCTCTAGGTGTCAGAAATCGAGGCCAGGATCGCAGCCTTGCGGGCTGCAGGGCTCACGGTGAAGCCCTCAGGGAAGCCCCGGAGGAGGTCTAAGCTCCCGGTGAGTGGACGCTGCAGGGCCCGGGGCCTGGGTGCCCGGACTCCTGGCCAGGCCCACAGGGCCACGCCAGGGCGTGAAACCAAGAGCCCCGGGCCAGCCATCTCCCCCTCCTTGAACTGCTGCCTCAGTGTCCTAACAGCCATCGTGAGCTGTGCCCTGCGGGAGCTCTTTTTCATTTATTACTTGTTTTCTAACTGGAGAAAGTGCTTTATGAAGGACCCTCAGCTCCCATGAGGATTTGAAAAACACCAGGGGCACAGTTCAGAGTGCAGAAGCGGCACCTGAAGGATGACACCCGTGTTGGCATCTTAACACACTGCCACTGGCATGGTGTGCCTAGAACAGGGGGTGGGGAGGGCAGCAGGGGCCCCCACCACATCTCTCCTGGGTCAGGTCGGGGATGTTCAGGCAAAATCACATGGTGAGGACACCTGGCCGAGAATGAAAGACGTTCCTGGGAGAGTCCCGGACGGGACTGCCAGGTAAAACACAGGACGCCGGTTAAAGCTCAATGTCACATGTACGACGAATCATCTTCCCGTGTAAGTGTGGCCCGTGCGTACTGGGACATGCACTAAGAAATGACTTGCTGTTTCTCTGGAATTCAGAGCAGACTGGGCGTTCTGTATTTTAATTTGCTAAACCTGGCCGTGCCCCAGTCCCAGCGCACTGAGTGGCCTGTCTGGCAGGGCCAGCGTGCCTCCCCCGCATTCCTGAGCGAGTGCTGAAAGAGAACGCCGCCCCGTGTCCAGCTGGCCCCGTGGCTGGAGGGGACACAGGGCAGCGATCATGTACAGGCTTCTTCCTTGTCCTCCAGGTATTTCTGCCCCGACTTGCTGGGAAATTGGGCCAGAGTCCCGAGGACCCACCTGCAGACCCTGCCGATGGGGCCGAGGTGCGTGCTTCCCTCCCACCCCTAAAGGCCGGACAAAGAGTGAAAAGTGGACCCCCCTTCTCCAGAGCATGGCAGGTCCAGGGGGTGGTGGAGAACTGGCAAGCCTCACAGGCTGGTGGCCTCAGACGCACTGAGCCGAGGGTGGGTGCGGGAGGAGCCCTCACAGCCTACGCCTCCCGATGTCGGCAGCTCCCCCAAGCAAAGCACCTTTTATATTCTGGCACTGGGTGCTTACATGATTGACAGCATGCATTTTAATATGGTTAACGGTTCAAATACTGCCAAAGAGCAGAAGCAGTCCACCCGGTTACTTAGAATCTGGAAGAATGACAGGTCCCAAGTTGGCTCCCAGTGTTTCTAAGTTACAGTCGAGTGAAGCCCAGAGATGTCTCCTTCCTTCCAGGTGATGGCGGGGCCCTACCTTCTGAGGCGGAAGTTCAGCAATTCCCCTGAAAGTCAAGGTAAGAGTGGCCTTCGTCCCTCCTCCCTGCAGGCAGGGATGGGCTCTGGGGCGTGGAAGCAGGGCTCTGAATTTCCACATCATCTGTGGGACGCAGCAGCTCACGCCCTGCTCCTGCAGGACCCTCTGTTGTGATGGATTTCACAACCAAGGCCCTGAGGAGGGACCCTCTCCTGAGGATGAGTCCCACCCCCTCAGGCCGGCTGTCACATCACAAAAGTAAAGAAAACGAGTGGCAGACCGCACACACGAGTGCAAGGACCTTTCTATTGTTTTGCCCCCGGAGGTAGGGTTTTCATGCCTACTCCAAAGAGAGCGCTCCTTTGCACAGTTGCTAAGATGTGGGTGCTTTGCTGAAACGATTGAGTGCTGAGAAAACTTCTCCGAGGGAGAAATGTCCATTTTTCTGCTACTTGGTTCATTTCTTGGGAGGCAACGACACTTGTTTGGGGTGAGTGTGTGATTAATAAGCCCGCCCCCGTGTTTTCCCCAAAGGCAAAGATGACGAGTCCTTTGATCGGAAATCTGTGTACCGCGGCTCCCTGACACAGAGAAACCCCAACGGCAGGAGGGGCACTGCCCACCACAGCTTTTCGGTAAGGATTCATCCGGTTCTCTGAGGTGTCTTCGAAATTCTGTGGCCTGGCGGGTTACTTATTGGTATTAAGTCCTTGGAGTGAAGAAAGTTGGGGTAAAGTAACATGTAAACTTGGCAAAAGATTTAAACAAAAATCTTATGTGTGCATGTGTGTGCATGTGTGTGCATGTGTGTGCATACTCATCTGTGCATGCTTATTGTGCATGTGCATGCGTCTGTGTGCATACCCATCTGTGCATGCTTATGTGTGCATGTGTGTGCATGTGTGTGCATACCCATCTCCGCATGCTTATTGTACATGTGTGTGCATATGTGTGCATGCTTGTGTGTGTATGTGTGTGCATACCCATCTGTGCATGCTTATGTGTGCATCTGTATGCATACCCATCTGTGCATGCTTATGTGTGCATGTGTGTGCATGTGTGTGCATACCCATCTGTACATGCTTATTGTGCATGTGTGTTTGTGCATTGCAGAAACCTGTAATGACCCACCAGCCCTAAGCGGGAGAGGTTCTTGGGAACAGGACAGAGCAACAGAGCAGCCCGCCTTGCTTTCCCTCCCCCACAGCCATGATGTCCCCCCATCGGCCCTGCACTCTCCATTCTACACCATCCAGTGGAGAAACAGGAAGACACACCGTCCGTGATGGAACCCCACCTGTGAAATGACTATGGTCCTCAGACCTGCAGCTGCTCACCCCCATTCATTGACAACTTCCCAGGCCACTGGGCCAGCCTGTTCTGATCCGTGAGAGACATCTAAGCTACATCTTTCCTTCAGGACAATGTTGTTTAAATTTTTTCAAAGACACACAGAAAACCTATTCAGCAAGAACTTTCACCCCCGTTCGCTGCTGCCTTTCTTATGTCGATTTCATGAATGGAACAGAAAGGAATGACAATGTGCATCAGAGTGTGGGCCAGGCCGGTGTGTGTGTGTTCTGTGTGGGTGTAATTGGAGAAGGAAATTGGGCATCAATACAAGGAAGGAACTGAACCCATGATCAGCTGAATAATGAGAGAGGAATAGAGCCCCTGACACCACCCCCACCCCATATATACCTATTCTGCAAGTTCATCTGTGGGTCACAGACTGGGAGACATTACCCTCTGGTCAAGGGCAGAGCATACACATGGTAGGAGTGGCATATGATCAGTGCCCAGACACAGACCTAGAGGACCTGTGGGGAGAGGCGGTGATGGCAATGTACACGGGGCAGCAGCCTGGGGCCCAGAGGGCCAGGACCAATGAGTGGTGCCCGCCGGCCTCTTGCCATAAGCTCCATAGATGAGCCCTAAGTTCACCATCTCAGACAGGCTAGGATTCAGGGCTACATCTGGGTGTCTGTGTGGCTCATTCAGTTGTAAGAGGAGCCCGCTGTGAGCCTCCAGAGCTGCCTTTGAGCACAGAAACTAACCATATTGCCCCATCCCAAGCCTGGCTGTGGTTTTGTAGGTTCCCTGGTTTATTTAAACCTCAGATCAAATTTAAGCCTGTTTTGCAGAGGAGGACATGGAGCCCTTGGTGCGAGGCAGTGCCCTGGAGCTGCTGCTGTGATTTCTATACTCTTGCAGTGATGTTGGGTGAGCTTCAACCTGGCACTCTCAATGGGTGTCTTGTCCAGTTCACATGGTACCCAAAAGAGGAAGATGGAGAAGTGATGCCCAAGGGCCTCTGATGATGAGACTTCTGACCTGACTGTGGGCAAGCCCCACCCACAGCTGCACAGATTCCACCCTGAGCCATTGTCAGGTCACCACAGGGGTTGCGTCCAGGACAGCTCCTGGTGCAAAGGCAGCCTCCAGGGGACGGAATGAGCCAGCCTCGGGCTATGCTGGGATTGGTGGAAAAGGTGGACCTGTGGCCCCTTCTCAGAACGGAGGCTGGTTAGAGGGTGTTGCTCCCAAGTCAATGCTACAAATGATTAAAATGTTCCTGTAAGTGAAAGGGAGGCCAGTTTTTTATGGACACCCGTCCTTATTCACAAAGTAAATGAAAGTCAAGGTGAGCTCCTAGGAGTCAAAGAAGGGCAGTTCTGGCTGCCCTCCATGTCCCTGCGTGTTCGTACAACAGGACAGGGGGTGCTGTGCCCCAAAACCTGCTCATGGCCACCTGTGCTCTGTTCACACTGTGTTTGGTCCATGACCCAGGTCTCCCTAAGGAGCTACTAATGCACAGAGCAGTCGCATGGTCATCCCTCCAGCTCCTCCAACACCTGCCACCACGGAACTCATCCATTCTCCCATCCACAGAGCTCCCATCCGAGCCACCCAGCCCTGGAGCCAGAAACCCCAGGCCCCAGACCCCAACCCTGCCCCTCATCAGACCACACTCTATCCTCTGCATCTCCCAGACCACTCCAGACTTCCCCTCAGTCACCTCATGACTTTTTCCAACAGGGAAAATCTCTTGCTTTCCTGGGATAAACCTTACTTGGTCAAGATAATTAGGTTTTTAGTACATTGCTGAATTTATTTCTTTAATATTTTATTTAAAGGGGTGGGGGAGGTAGAAGAGGGTAAAGAGAATAAATGGTGCCAAAACCGGTTTGGCTCAGTGGATAGAGCGTCGGCCTGTGGACTGAGGGGTTCCGGGTTCGGTTCCAGTCAAGGGCATGTGCCTGGGTTGCAGGCACATCCCCGGTGGGGGGCGTGCAGGAGGCGGCTGGTCGATGTTTCTCTCTCATCGATGTTTCTAGCTCTCTGTCTCTCTCCTTTCCTCTCTGTAAAAAATCAATAAAATATATTTTTAAAAAAAGAGAATAAATGGTGATAGAAGAAAAAATATTTTATTTAGGGTTTTTTTCCTCGACTGATACCTTTAATTTTTCATCCCCCACTGCCTACAGACACCCACTGGTGAAGCCCAAAGTGGTAGGGCACCAATGCCACTCTGTGACAAAGCTACTTTGCTGAAAGGGGTTACTGTCCCCCCTACACACACAGGCACACGTGTATGTACACACAGGCATATGTGTGCCCACACACTTGTACTGGCACATGTGCACACATACACATGTGCACACACATGCTCCCATGGTGATGCCCAGGCAGCTGCCTCCAGGTGGCCCTGACTGCGCACACATCTGTGGGGACCACCCAGAGGGCCCGCCTCCAAGACAGGAGCACATCTCCGGACAGCGGCCCTTCGCCACGATTCGTAAGAAACACCCCTGAGCACTTGGCCACCACTACCGCTGAGACACCCCCAGTTCTGATGGAATCCACCCCCAGTGACCTCACCTTACAGCCACCATCACAGCCCTGCACCCACCCTCCACTACCCAGCCCCCAGTTACTTGCCCCCTCACCAGTGCTCACAGACCCCAGATCCGCAGGGAGCCTGCTGGCCACCAGGAATGGGCAGCCAATTCCCGGAGGGGAAGGTACAGCCCTGAAGAATTTCCGAGAAGTGATGGTCACATGACATGTCCTATCACAAGCCTACATGCCTGAGGGGGCAACCCAGGTCTCCTCCCCCAGGACAGGCTCCCCGACGCTACACTCAACAGCACTTAGTGACCTTTGACGTAATCTAATTATTCAGAACACAAATGAGTTAGGTGTCTAGGTCCAAGTTAAATGGTAGGATATTGTCAGTTATTTCAACTCGAGGACGTAACTGTTAAATGAAAAGAATGAGACTCAAAAACATATAAATATGATGAACTGACCCAGAAAAGATGTGGGAAACCAATAGAAGGAAGCACATCACCTGTGAAAACGATCCGCTTCTTTGACTTTTATTGTGCTTTTTTTTCTGTGTGTGTTTTTCTATTTTTCTACATGTGTTCATTTCTTTCCAGAGGTGTATAAATTGCTTTTACAATAAAATTCAACATATTTGTTTTCTGATATTAATAAACTTGCCCATTGAAAGCATTAATGATGAAGACTTGTCAAAGCCTAGAGAGGAACCGATCTTAAGCAATGAAATGGACGAGAGTAGTTTGTGTATGAGAATGTCACCATGGAAAGCCACAGACTGAGGAGGCTTGTGGAGACGTAACACCGTCGTGTCTGGCGTGGCGACTTCTCCTCTCACCATGTGTCCGGCGTGGTGACTTCTCCTCTCACCATGTGTCCGGCGTGGCGACTTCTCCTCTCACCATGATTTGGAGGAGGTGAAGGAGTGGCCGCACGGTCGCCTTTCTGTGTGGGAGGCAGTGGCTCACTTCTCCCTTCACCATGTGTCTGGCGTGGCGACTTCTCCCTTCACCATGTGTCCGGCGTGGCGACTTCTCCGTTCACCACGATTTGGAGGAGGTGAAGGAGTGGCCGCACAGTCGCCTTTCTGTGTGGGAGGCAGTGGCTCACGCGCTACCCAGACTGTTGGCACTTGACTTTGCCGTGCCCCCAAGGCCGGTGTGAAGAAGGAAGGCTAATGTGTTTTAAAACCACTTGGCCCAAATGAAATTATATAACCCAGGAAGGAAGGGACAAATCACATCGCTGATGAGAGTTTAAAAAAAATAGAGGAAAAGAAAATAGACAAAGACTCTGATGTCCCCTTGTGAGGGGGGCGGGGACCAAGGGGAGAGGGGGGCGTCAGGGGGCTGGGCTGCTTCCTCCAGGGGGCCATAAAAGGGGTAGGCTGGCTCCCGCTGAGTCACACTCAGGACACGGGCCACGCTCGGCACCATCATGGGGAACAGCGGTGAGTAGCCCAGGGGACTGTCACTCTGCAAATCTCCCTCTGGGTCCGGGCTCTACGAAGGCCATGCAGGCTCTTCCGGCGGCGAGGCTGGCTAGCACTGGGTGGGAGAGGCAGGGACAGGCAGGGGCAGCCACCCCACGGTTTATGTGTCTGAGGGAGGGCCACTCCTGCCTGCCCAGGGCCCCTAGGACTCAAGTGCTGTCCATGGTGAAGGCAAAGGGGGGAGGCCACCCCTGCACCCCACTGAGAATGCAGACAGGGAATCCCCCTGGGGATCAGGAGCCAGGCGCTGCTAACATTCTCCTGAGGTGCCCTCTATCCAGCATGAACCCCAACCCCTGGGGAGGAGAAAGCAGCATCTCTTTACACTCTGTTCTCAGGGTGGCACCTCCATTTCCTGGTCGGGGTCCCCCACCCCCTGTGTGACACCCAAAAAAGAAAAGGGTGGCATTTTAAATCACCCAGGTGGACAGCACTTTCTGAGTGGCTCAGGGACAGGCTGGAAAGTCAAGGTGGGCAGAGGGGTCCTCCCTGAGACAGACAGGGTGGGGAACCTGACAGAGGACCCAGCATGAGGAATTGCTGGACGGACCAGTTCAGGCACATCACTGCCTCCACCCACAGGACAAAATGCATTTTCTGGCCCCTCTGCTGCCCGCAGTGCCCCTGTCTGTAGGGGGATGCCCTGCGGCTGGTGGCAGGTCCCAGGGGTCATGGGGACAGGGGTGTTCTTGGTACGGACATAAGACGCTGACCCTCCTACAATGCCCAGCTGTCCACTCACATCCCCCAATGGGCCTGGGGGCAGGACTGGACACACACATCCTCCCACATGTACACACAAGCTCATGCCTGCACATACCCCTCACGTACCCATGCACACACACTCTCTCACGCACACACGGCACTCACATTCCCTAAGGCTCCCAGCTTTGTACACAAGCGCCCTCACGCGTGTTTGACGTTGCTTCTGCCCCCTCTGCCCCAGGCCGAGCCCTCCCATGTGGGATCCCACCTCGAGCGGGGCCTCGGCGAGGAGCCAGGGGGCTGAAGGTGCTGCAGGCCTGGTTCCTGTGCCTGCTGCTGCTGGGCCTGGCCCTGCGAGGGGCAACATGTCCAGCCCACCAGCACTCCATGGAGACCCGCAGTGAGTGCCCACCCAACCAGATGTCAGCCTCCCTCACCCACCCCTGCACCCCAGAGCCTCCTCCTAACCTGGGGCACGGCCTTACTAAGTGCCCAGCTCTGGGGGGTTGGCCTGTGTTCAGCAGTCCTCAACCCAGAGTGGCCCTGTCACCCGCTTCCCAGGGTCCCTGTCCAGCACGCGTTCCAGGGTTCACTTCCCACCACCAGGGTGGCCGGGGCTCCAGTATGCTTGGTCCCCTGCTGACACAGAATGGTGGGGGTGAGGAGGGGACTAGTCCTTGGTCCTGGTGTGAGTTTGAATTCCTGTTTCCCAAAGCCACCCCACACCACCCAGAAAAGGTGTCGCTGACCCTCCGGGTGCCCCTCCTTTGTGGGTGGGTCCCAGCCTGGCCTGTGAGCTCAGAGCCCCATGGGGAGCAGGCAGTTGCCCCCAACACCACCCGGCAGGGCACTGAGCATACCCGGGAACACAGATTGTGACTGAGTCGCCTTTTCTCTCCAGCCCCGGACATCGACCCTGCCTGGTACACGGGCCGCAGAATCAGGCCTGTGGGCCGCTTCGGACGGAGGAGAGTGGCCCTGAGGAATGCCCCGGAGCTGAGCCTGTGGCACCAGCGGTCGGCTTCCCCCTGGAAGGAGGCGCTGAGCCCTCCCAGGATGGGTGACAACCCAGCGCAGGAGGAGTAACCCCGGAGCCTCCCCGCAACTCCGGCCCCCTCCGCCAGGGACTACTTTCCCTTCAATCCTAATAAAAGCAGCTGCCTCATCTACACGCGTCTGTGTGGTGACACTGGAGGACACTCAGAGCCCAGTAGGGAATAAAGGAGCTGGAACCTTCTTGGTCCCCTGCAGCCCCAGTGCCCTCCACTCAAGCCGCCCAAAGGTGGCTCAGGCTGCGCTCTGCTCCAGCCCAGAGGAGGGCAGCATCGCCCTTTCAGCTCCTGCCCCTCTATCAGGCCCCGCCCCTCTCTCAGCCCTGCCCCTCTCTCAGCCCCGCCCCTCTCTCAGCC